CCTCATGGACGACCCACGGGAACATCACAGTGTTGCCGTAAGAAAGATTTGTTTTTCATTCTGTTATCTTCAGGCAGAGACTGTAATTAGGTTTATTTTGGGCTCGCAGCCAGTCTGAGCCAAGAACTGATAAAGAGAGCTCCTTTTAAGTTGTTTGCCTGTCGTCTGTTTAACGAGCGGAGAAGGGGGGACAGAACACATACAGCATAGGTATACGCACATATATTGAACATACACAATGTGTATAGAGAAAAACACAGACAGCACTGATAAATTCAACAACAAACAGTAACTGTTATTGTTCAAAGGGACCTTGGAGGTCTTCCAGTCCAACCCCTGCTCAGGCAAGAAAGCTCTATACTATTTCAGATAAGTGCTGCCTCTTCTTAAAATCCTCCAGTGATGGAGCATTCACAACTTCTGGAGGCAACTTCTGTTCCACTGGTTAATTTTTCTCCCTATTGGGAAGTTTCTCCTTACTTCTAGATTGCTCCTCTCCTTGGTTTAATTTATTGCTTCTCTCCTCAGTTTCATTATTTTCAAGAATAAGGGTTCAACATTATCCTTGAAAATAACGTTTCCAATTAGCATTTGGCAACTTATTACTCGTGTGGTTTGTTCTATTGTGTGAAAATGACAATATTTGACGCCACGCGTGAGCAAGAAGCAACTTCTGGATGAAATAGGTTCAAGTACCTACACTCTACTGTCACTGGAAAGATTGGCAAAAATGTTTAAAGGTAAATCAACCAAGTGTTGGAAGTGTCACCAGGCCCCGGGATCCTATTATCATACGCGGTGGACGTGTGCAGAGGCAAAAAAATATTGGGCAAAAATTCGCAGGTGGTTGGAAAGGATGATACAGCAGCATATTGATTTAAAGCCAGAACTGTTTTTGTTGGGCATTTTACCAGAGAAATATGGTAAAGAAAATGCATATTTAAATTATTCATGTAATAGCTGCAGCTAGAATTGTATTTGCACAAAACTGGAAAACGGGAAAAAAATTCCCTCAGAGGGAGAAGTAATTAAAAAAATATTAGCTTGCAGAAATGAACAGATTAACGAAGGCAATTAAAGAGAAGGAAGAATCAGAGTATTATAAGATATGGGAATGTTTTTTATCACTGGACAGAAAACGAATATAGACAAAAAGAAACAGAAAATTGAATCATTTGGAAAAGAACGTAGAATTACAGGGGAGGAGTTGAATTAAGAGGCGATTGAAATGTAAAGGTAAGATAAGAATAGATTAAAAAATGATGTAACTGTTAAATATGATGATACAAAGATTGTATCCAGGTGACACACTGTAAGATTAATGATGTAAGTAAGAGGAGTTATGGAAAAATAAAAATAAACTTTTTAAAAAAAGAAACAGAGCCAAGTACCTGGAGAGACTTCAAGACTGAGGGTGTATTTGTAAGAACCGAGCCCGTGGCTCCGAAGAAACATTGTGGGATCCTCGTCTCCCATAACGCCGAGAGAAGTCGATGTGGGCTTTAAGGGATCTCCTGGGCCGTGGTCCTTCTCCGTCTCCCCATCGGAGTCCCGGCGATCAGTTTTTGGCCCTGGAGAAACAGCCAGGAGATCCTTGCTGCAACAAGGCTGTTGATCCTGATCCCTGAAGGCTCCTGGCTGGCTTGCAACCTGCACCAAAGACCGGGGGCTTGTTTGGCCTCTCCTCCAATCCGGGGTTTCAATCTCCTGCACGGCGAAGCCCAAAGGATCTGGAACCAGCAGCTGAAAACAACTCTCCAGCTCCGTCAGCACAGACTGGATTTCGGGAGACGCATCTGGCGAGTGAATTCGGGACATTTAGGACAGGCAGGCAGGCACCAAAAGCCTCCTCTAAAGGATTAGTTCACCCATGTAAAGTCAGCAATTAATTCGGTGTAGAGGTGGCCCTCGACTTACGACCACTAGGGAGGCCAAAGTTTCTCTTGCTGAACGAGGCATTTGTTAAGTGAGTTCTGCCCCGTTTTACGACCTGTCCTGCTGCAGTTGTTAAGGGAATTGATGCAATTGTCAAGCGGGTAACATGATTGTTAAGTGGACCTGGATTCCCCATTGTCAGGAGGTCAAAATAGGGGATTACGTCAGTGGTCTCCAACCTTGGCAACTTTAAGACCTGTGGACTTCAACTCCCAGAGTTCCTCAGCCAGCTTTGCTGGCTGAGGAACTCTGGGAGTT